CAAAGCAATCTCGTAAAAGAAGAGCAAAGCTTGGAGGTATCTATCATAATCCCAGGTTCCAAACTATACCACAGTTTTATAGTAATCAAAACAGTATGGCACTAGCACAAAAGTAGACACATAGATCAAGTGGAACAGAGTAGAGACCCCAGAAATAAACACACACTTTTATGGTCAATTAATCTATGACAGAGGAGGCAAGAACATACAATGGAAAAACAGAACCTTCAATAAATGGTATTGGGAAAACTGACAGCCACATGCAAAAGAATGAAATTTGACCACGTCTCACACTGTATACATAAGTAAACTCAAAATGAATTAAAGACCTCAATATAAAACATGAAACCGTAAAACTCATAGAAGAAGACATAGGCATTAAACTCTTGGACATTGGTCTTAGCAATATTTTTTTGGATGTCTTCTCAGACAAGGGACCAAAAAAATAAACAAATGGGACTACATCAAAGTTAAAAGCTTTTTCACAGTGAAGGAAACCGTAACGTAATAAAAAGAAAACCTACTAAATGAGAGATTGCAAATGATATATCCAATAAAAAGTTAATATCTAAAATATATAGAGAACTCATAAACTCAACATCAAAAAAACAAGCACTCCCACTAAAAAATGGGAGAGAACCTGAGTAGATGTTTTTCTAAAGAAGACATACACATAGCCAACAGAAACATGAAAAGATGCTCAACATCACTAATTATCAGGGAAATGCAAATCAAAACCACATGAGGCAGCATCTCACACCTGTCAGAATGGCTAATATCAAAAAGATAAGAAATAGTATGTGATGATGATAATGTGGAGGAAGGGAACCCCTGTGCAGTTTGGGTGGGAATGTAGATTGGTACAGCCACTATGGAATACAATATGGAGGTTCCTCAAAAAGTTAAAAATAGAAGTAATACATGATCCAGCAATTTCACTTCTGGGTACTTAACTGAAGAAAACAAAAACACTGATTTGAAAAGATGCATGCACTCCTATGTTCATTGCAGCACTGTTTATAATGGCCAAGATATGGAAACAACCTAAGTGCCCATTCATAGGTGAATGGACAAAGAAAATGTGGTATGTTCATATAGTGGAGTATTAGCTATAAAAAAAAGAATGAAATCTTGCCATTTGTCACACCATCGATGAACGTAGAGGGTATTATACAAAGTGAACTAAGACAAAGACACCATATGATTTCACTTACATGTGGAATCTGAAAAACAAAATAAATGAGGAAATAAAACAGAAACAGACTCATAAATACAGAGGACAAACTGGTGCTTGCCAGAAGGGAGGGGGTTGAAGGGATGGGTGAAGTAGGTGAAGGGAATCAAGAGGTACAAATGTCCAGTTGCAAGATAAGTCATAGGAATGTAAAGTACAGCATAGGGAATGTCATCAGTAATAATGTAATAACTTTGTATGGTGACTGATGGTAATTACACTACTATGATGAGCATTTCTTAATGTATATAAATGTTGAATCACTGTGTAGTACACCTAAAACTTAATAACTATATGTCAACTAAATTTCAATTAAAAAAATTAGTAAAAATTTTAAAGCCCCACACAGTATCTAGACACCTAATTTTGAGACTAGCCTTGCCCTGCATACCTACCCATTTTCACTCAGCTCCTACGGGCTCACAGATACCACTGAATTTTTACAAGTCCTAGCTTCACTGATTTTGTACCCTATCTGATAAGTATGACCAAACATAGGAATCTTGTCTGACTCCGGATAATACCAGCCAGTAAACTGAAATTTTTAATGGCTAGTCTTAGGCCAACATGGCAACAACTTCCCTGAGTTTTGTTCAGCTTTCTAGCTTTTTCTTTTTTTCCTTTGATTGATATCTGCACCATCCTGCCTGTCAATGTGGAAAGGAGAGGCCCCTCATTGGGTAGTGGGCGCCCATCCTTGCTGACATTACTGTTAGTCACTCTTGGCCATCACTGTGCTGTCACCTTTGTCGTATTTTCAGAGAGAGACAGAATCACCTCCCTTAGAAACCTTTGCATTCAAAGTGAAAGATGCTGAATAAAGTCTGAATAAGCTGTAGTTTCGCTAGTTAGTAAACATATATTGAAATTGTCTGTTTTCTTTGTTCTCTAGGCATAGCAGAGTTAGGCGAACCTTTATATTTCTGGCTTCCTGTTTCTAATAACCTTTGAATCCTGTGTCTGTACAGTCAAGAGTTCTTGATTCCGAGTTGAAGCTGAGTTCTGTCTGATATACTGAATAGGAGTATCAGGATTGCCTTTCAGTTTCATCCATGGCTTTGAATAAAGTTGGCAAGCAGTGTGGGAAGGAAAGTACATCCAGATTTTGTCCGTCTAAGATAATTCTCAAATAATACTTAGTAAGAATAAAATCTAGGAAAATAAGAGCCATAAATGGGCTTTATTTCCTTTTGAAATAATACCACTAGTCAGTGCCTTTTCTCAGTGCTTTTTATTAAATTTAACATATTTGGTACTAAAATAGATACTGCTGTTTTTCTTTCAGTGCATTTTTTTTCTTTTTTGCCATCAAGTGGGTCCAGGTCCATAAAGAATCCTATCTCTTTTAAGCTTGAATTATAAGGAGTGCTTGGGGTGAGATGGGTAAGCTCATCAGAAAGTTATAAAATCAGATTAGGACATCAGGACAAATGAGACATTTTGCTTCTTCCTTTCCTTAGGAAAGGGTTTTTCAGCTCAAGTTCTAGCTTCCTTTTTATTCAGGAGTTAGATCCAGTTATTTCTGAACATATAAATCTTGTCCAATTCCAAATATTATTTAATTTTCCAAATCAGTGGTTTTCAACTTAAGCTATACGTTAAAATCACTCGGAGAATTTTCCAAAATTCAGATGCCAGGCTACACCCAGAACAATTAAATTATTATTTCTGGGAGGTGAGACTCAGGCATCAGTTTTTTTTAAGTGCTCCACTCCCACACACAGACACTGTACACACACAAGTGGTTGATTCCACTCTGCATCCAGTGTTGAAAATATCAGTAATTATTGGTACACAATTGAAGTATTCATTAGTACTCTTAGGAAGTTTGAATCTTAGTCTAAGAAACCTGTAGATTTTTTCTGAAGGAGAAAATAAAAACTGAAGACCTCCCATAGTCAGCCTGTCTTTGCAAACTTACTTTCTGAATTTTTTTTTTATCACATATCTACCCTGTGCTCTAGTCTACTTGGATTACTCATTCTTCTTGATCACGCTTTTATTTATGCTTTTATTCATGCTATTTGAGAAACAACTCTCCCCCCCCCCATGTGCTTTTTATAATCCTACACTACTACCTCTTTGAAGCTTCTTTTCATTATCCTTCATCCAAAAAGAGGCTCTTCTCTTCAGAACTTTTTTTTTCTTTTTTCTTTAGTATATTCTGTATGGTTTGCATTTATGTTTTTATTTCTCCTGCCAGTTTGCAAAGCTTGTATCTTACTCATCTGTGTATTCCCTGGCACCTTTACATTCCCCATAGTGCCTTGTATCCAGTAAATGTTATATAAGTTTGGTTGAATAAAAAGAATTTCATGCTTTTCAGAAGTCATACTTATGAAAAAGCAGATGTATAATGTCTTCTCTGTTTGCTTTCATGTTTTTCCCTTTACTCAGATTCTTAGTTTTGATGACCTTTTTTTTGTTTACACATGGGATTCTTTTCTCATGTCTAGCCATTAAGTCATCTTCAGGAAATGTTGGCTCTTTGAGATTTGGAATGCTCTGCAGCTTAGTGCAGAGTGTGCTTATTAATGCCAGTTCTGGGCTCTTTTGTGCCATGGTGGAAACATAATTTTGTCATAGGCTTACTGTTACAGTATAGTTGTTTTTTAGATTTGGTAACCTCATTTTTTCTGTTTATAGAGAAGATAAATCTCTTTCTCACATCCTGAAGTCCCAATGTAATTTTGTTTTTAATACAACTATAGCACAAAGATCTCCAAATTTTACCTCTAAATGACAGACTGTACTTTCTAAGCACACAAAGCATTTAGCAATATGAAAGGGAATTGTAGATGCACAGTGTGAACTAGGAAAGAGGCACATGGGGAACTATAACAAAAAAGTTGGTGTTTGCTTTTTAAACAGTGCCATCAGCTGTGTATGTGTGTTTATGTTTTCTCCATGCTAGCTGTTTTCTGCCTCCTTCTTCAGTAATGCTTCTGTCATGTAAGATTGGCTTCAGGGTGAATTATGCCACAGCCCTGAGGAAAAACAAACAAGACTCAGACCATGTGGGATTATTTTCCTGTCACCTAGCTAATTAAATTAGTCTAATTCTCTAATAGTTGGCATCCTTTTAAATGACCTACTTCAAATAAATTACAGCATTTCTCCTTAGTAAGTACTGACTGTGAGAGAGATTAGAAGCATCGTATGCCTTCCCACTTCTTCCCCAGGCATCTTCCTGTCCCAGCTGTTTTCTTTCTTAGGAAAGTTCTAAACTCTAAAACCACTCTTGTTCCACCTATAATTTTTAAAGCTTGAGATTACACTCAGTACCAGTTTGGTTCCCACCTTCTCAGTGGGGCAGCAGGTTTTGTAGATCAAAGCACATTTTAGTTTTTCTTTGCTTTTCTTTTTTTCTTCCCTCACATTTTCTTTTAAAGAAAAAACAAAACATATTCAAAACATTACTGCTTGGAGACAGGGTTTCTTGGAATTTGTAAGCTCTTTAAAACCTGTTTGGGTTTGTGTCTATGTACCCCAGTGGAAAGATTGGATCTGAGACATCCCTGAGATGTTTCAGCCCCATCTTCTTTCCACATTTTCTCAGAACTCCCACATAACTACACTACTACTACTCAGTTCCCCTAGGACATGTTGCTTTGCAGTCTAGAATTTCTTTAGGCTTTGTGAGTCACATTGAATATCATGTATTCCCAGCAACCTGGCAGGGCAATTTACAGATTCTATATGGGCATCTAGTACTTAGTTAAATGAACTCTACCTCTCTCCTCTCTCTCTCCTTTCTCTCTTTCAGCTTGGCAGTGACCTTGGCGGGGGCATTGGAGGAAGTCCGGCAGTAAGTGCCATCCATTTTTTTCACCATGGGATGCCCCCTGTTTGATGCTTTTCCTCTAACACACATTCTCAGACCAGCCACCGCTGCTGTCTAGCACTGTACACCAAAACCTCTATAGCAGTATAAGAAGAGTAGAAAGTAGCATAGGGTTACTTGGAATCTTTGGAGTCATATACCACCTGTGGTGTAGGGATATCTTTAGGGATTGGTGCTCTGGTGTCTGCAGAGATCTTTGTCTTCCTGACATTAAAGAGCTGGAGGAAATGGGCCTCCCATCTTGACTGGAGAATGCTCTTACTCTGTAGTGCCATCTAGAAATAACTTGAGAGAGTCAGCTGGATTCAGAGTGAGATTCTCCTTGTACGTGAGTTTGGGGGTGTGTGAATATCCATCTCCCCCAGGAGAGTTTCCTACCATATATTTATGACTAAATGGGAAGTAAGACTTGCCTGGACCCAAGTGGAAATGGAACTGTGCTCTAAGTTGGATGTTTCTCCTCCCTTCTGTAGAAATAAACTTCCCCTTTATTAGGGTACCTATAGGCCTTTTCTCAGAATCATGGAAGCTAAAATTGGAAACAAACAGAAAAGAACTTGGATCACTGTATTCCTGATCCTACTGATTATTCTCTGTTTATTGAACTTTTAAAGAATGTATTTTATCAATGATGAAAAAATAACCATGATGATTAAAAGGACAATATACTAATTCAGCTCCTAAGAGTGTCATGATTATGGTGTGTTCTTACTGATTTATCAATACTACTAAAATATATACTCACATTTTAAAGACTACTACTCTGTTCCTCCTAATCTCCCCACTCTTTCTCTGCAGGTGGGACAATCCTTCATCCCATCATCAGTGCCTGCAACCTTTGCTCCTTCCCCTACGCCTGCTGTGGTCAGCAGTGGTCTGAATGACCTATTTGAACTCTCCACAGGGATAGGCATGGCACCTGGTGGATATGTGGCTCCTAAGGCTGTAAGTAAAGTATACGTTCTTTTTTCCTTTTCTTCTTTAACGTTTTTTTATTAAAGTATCATTGATATACAATCTTACGAAGGTTTCACATCAACATTGTGGTTTCAACATTCACCCATATTAGCAAGTCCTCAACCCCACCACCACCATCCATTGCAGTCACTGTCTATCAGTGTAATAAGATGCTATGGAGTCATTACTTATCTTCTCCATGCTGTACTGCCTTCCCCATGACCTACCTATATTGTGATTGTGAATTTAAGTGCCCCTTAATCCCTTTCTGCCTCCCCAAACCCTCCCCTTTGATAACCACTAGTCCCTTCTCAGAGTCTATAAGTCTGCTATTTTGTTCTTCAGTTTTGTTTTGTTTTCATACTCCACAAATGAGTGAAATCATTTGGTACTTGTCTTTCTCTGAATAGCTTATTTCAGTAAACATAATACCCTCCAGCTTTATCCATGTTGTTGCAAATGGTAGGATTTGTTTTCTTTTTATGGCTAACTAATATTCCATTGTGTATATGTACCACACTTCTTTATCCATTTATCTACTGATAGGCATTTAGGTTGCTTCCAAATCTTGGCTATTGTAAATAGTGGTAAAGTACATTTTCTTAATGGGTAGGATCTGGATTACTTAGCTTCTAACATTTATATAACTTCCACTGATATAAATCTAAGGTTTGGGCCCTTGTTCTAGAGGATTTAAGAGGAAGATGGAAGGTAGCCTCAAACATAGCAGTAAAAAGCACCATACCATCCTCATTAACCATTTTTATAATTAGACTTAAAATTGGGAAATAGTAAGTATTTGAGTTCTTGTTTAGAAATGTTGTCTGGTTTGTCAACACTGAAGTCAATCTAGTGTAAATTTGATCAGCAACACAGCAAGGGGAAAATACAGGGTAGAAAAGTAACATTTTTACTTCTCATTCCTGACTTTCTCCTTGGTATTACATATGGATTCTAGAGTGCTGTTGCTCAGATTTGGTTTTCACAGGTTTTAGTTTATATTTTTGGAGTTCTAATTTAGGTTTGTGTTCCGCATACTCTTCTAGTTTCAGCCTTGCTTGATGTCATCCTCAGATTGAATTCCAAGAGGGGAAGTTCCCTATAAATGAAGGTTATTTTGGCCTTTGGGGGTAGTACCATTCAGGCTAGGGTGAGGTTTTTGTAACCTTGCCTTTTTGAGGGACAGCATGCTTAATTGTTTCCCACATTCTCTGCCTGCTTATCTAACTGTGTGGGATGGTGGGCTGCAGAAATGTAGACGGTGGTCCATTCTAGGAGTCATAACCTTGTCTACACAGCCATTACATAGAGTAACCAAAAATGTGGTTCAAAACTGAGCCTTAGCGTTTTGGCAGAACTCAGTAGCTTTGTTGTAAGATTACTGTGTTGGATGTTATGTCTATATTTTTAATTATTGATTAAGAGGTTGTCTAATGTACTTCTTTTTTAACATTAAAGAATACATATAAATGACATTTAAATCATGTAGAAATTATCAGCTGGAAAATTCTGTTTCTGTCCCCAGTTCCCCATAGATGGCAATTATTTTCTTGTGTGTCCTTTCAGAAGAAAAAGGTCATGCATATACCTATGTTTGTTTCCTTAAAAAATACTTGTTAATGAGGTACAGTGTTTTGCACCTTGTTTTTACTCTACCCTTCTTTTGAGTGGCTGTATCCACTGTACTGATGTGCCACAACTTAGACATTCTGAAGATGGGGTTTAGGTTATTTCCTGGTTCTCCTCCCCACCCCCCAATCCCAAACCCCATTTTTGTATTTACAGTGTCACAATAATGTCCTTATGTATGTACACCCTGGTAGTATCTTCTGGTTGTTTGATTTCGTTTCCTTCCTTCCTTCTTGCCTCTCCCCAACCTCCTCCTCCCCTTTGCTTTCCTTTTTCTTCATTGTGGCTAGGTACATTCTCATGTTTATTCACCATCTGCTGACTCTTTATTCTGTCTTACATAATCAGAGCCATTAATTCCCTGATATTTCTTTTTGATTAACTGGTAGAGTACTGGAGTACCACAGGTCTGGGTACAGGGGTGGGTTGTGAATGAATTTCAAAGACAGAATAGGTGTTCAAATTATTTAAGCAACATCTGAGTACTTTCCGTTCATCAGAAACTATAGCAAGAGTTACAAATATGCCAAAGACATGGTCCTTACACTCAAGGAGATTATTGATGATAGTTTTGGTAATGATAATGTCTTCAAAGCTATAGACATGTATTTTTATTAGTAGATTCAGTTTCTTCCCTTTTAATACGCCTTTTACCAAAGCTATTAGCAAATATATATATGTATATATATATGGTTTATTGACTCTTAAATGATTGGGAATGATCTCAAAATTCATAGTCTGACTTTATCCAGAGCCTTTTGTATCTGATTTGATAGGTATAGTGTGAAAATCACCATGTTTTCTAAAGGATAGGAAATCTTAATTTAATCATTTATTTTTTAAAAATAGCATTGAGATAAATCTTGTCTGGTTCCTTTGGGCTTTTTACTGTGTTTCAGGTCTGGCTGCCTGCAGTAAAAGCTAAAGGCTTGGAGATTTCTGGAACATTTACTCACCGCCAAGGGCACATCTATATGGAAATGAACTTCACCAACAAAGCTCTGCAGCACATGACAGATTTTGCAATTCAGTTCAACAAGAACAGGTAAGAAATCTGATTCCCCACCTTAATCCTGAAACAATGTACCTGTGTCCAAAAAGACCACATTCCATTTAACAGCGGGTGAAAACTCTCCCTGACAGAGGAAGCTGGATGTAGAGGGTGTTGGCTCCTGCACATCTCTTCAGTTGTCAGTTCATCTCTAGAGACCCTAGAGGGTTTTGTTGGGAAACTCTTCTATGTGGAGTGAGAAAACCAGAACTTTACTGCTTTCTTAAAGGATTCTAGGAGTAGAATATTTTTAGTAAAATAGTTTATTAAAAACACTTTAATTGAAATCCATTTATTCATTCAACTGATTGTTTAGCATCTGTGTGCCAGATATTTCAAGGTTTGAAGCAGAGTCCAAAGCTTACATTTTGGTGGGAAGAAATGAACATACTTTGGTTGATGTCAAAAATAGGGAAGACAGTATACCTGTTATCTGAATAGTCACATCTGGGCTGACAGTCTACTTTAAGCAATGAATTTACTGCCTTAATAAGGAAGAGAGCATGAAAAAGTAAAATGTCTTACAGTTCTGAAACACCACTGGTTTTTATTAAACTTTGTGGTTCAGAAACTAGTTGTTATACTTTTTGGCAGGTCTGTTCATATTCATAAATAAAAGATATCCATACTTGTTCCTACTGAAGTAGTAATTAGATCCTTAAAGCAGATTTAATAAAATTTGTCAGTGACAATTTCCATCAGTGACTCTCTTACTTATTTCTAATCATTGGGTAATAGCTTTTGTACCCTGGATTTGAAAATTTGGCACATTAGAAATCACTTAATTAGAAAGTCCTGTGTTTTCTTCTGTCAAGCCACTTCTCTTTCCAGCCAGTTTTTGCCAAGTGTTAAAGGCCAAGGTTGTGGGGAGAATCTGTTGTAATAAAAACAGTCTGCATAGCCTTCCTTCATACCTTCATTTTTATTTGTCTTTTTTTTTTAAAGTAGTCTGATACTTAGAAGTTTAAAATGCCCTTAGTCCCTACTTTCTATAGTCTATTGATTTACTACTTTGAGTAACATATCTTCTCCCTGCTCCCATTGCCCAGTGTCAATAGTACTGTCTTTCTTTGAATTTTCTTTTTGTACCCTTTTTAAGTTTGCTTAAACTATATTTGATTTGTCGTCTTTGACCTCCAGTTATGACAGATGAGGGCAAGAGCTCTCCAGCCACTTGCCCTCTTTTCCTCTCATTTTTGTAAATTGTATCATTTCTCCATTTCATTCTCTCACATTTATCCTCATCTTTGTTTTGCCTTGGATTTGTGCTTACTGTCAACCTTTTTGTTTAAGTTTCCACTGTCATTTCTTGTATGTCTTTTGGTATGTGCCTCAAAAAGGGCTCATTTGAACAACAATCCTTGAGTTCTTCCATGGTCAAAACTGTGACCTTTATACTTGAAAATTCTTGACTCAAACTCTTTCAAGTGTTTTACTCCAGTGGCTTTGGTCATTAAATGTACCTGCAGAAAAGTCAGTTGCCAGCCTGATTTTTCCCCATATAAATGAATTGACCATTTTGTCTGGCTGCCCAGCGTTTTGAAATCCGATAATTTTACAAGGATATTCCCAATGTTGACCAGTCTAGATTAGTTTTCCAAGAATAAGTTGTGTCCTTTCAATATGTACATTGAAGTCTTTTACTTCAGGAAAGTTTTCAGGGTTTATATGTTTAAACTTCTACGTTCATTGTTTAGAATTTCTTCTTTGGGGAAGTATGCATTTATTGGCTCTTCTTTGTCTTTTTTTATATGTACTGTTATTCTCTCTAATCTGTTCTTATCTATAAATATTACAATATATGTTTCATTATCTTTTTAATCCATACCCATAGTACTATTATCTTACCACAGAATTCACCAGTAATTATTTCTTTCACCAGTAATTATTTAATCAGTAATCTTTCACCAGTAATTATTTAATGTCATCAGACATCCAGTTAACAGATTTTCAGTTGTCTAATGTTTTTGTAGAGTTTGTGTTGTCTGAACAAGGTCACATACAGTCCTGTTGGTCGGTAAGTGTCTTAAGTATCTTTTAACCTAGCTCTTTTTTTTTTCTTTCTTGAAATTTATTTGTAGAAGAAATTTAGGTCTTTTATCTGTGGAGCTTCCCACAGTCTAGATTTTGCTGATTACATTGGTAAATTCGAGGCAGATCTGTAGGCTTGATCAGATTTAGACTTGATCTTCTGGCATGAGTGCTTCATGGGTAGTGGTGGTCTTTTTCTCTCATTTGTTTTATGTTACTTGTTTTTTCACATTTTTTTTCTCTAGGTCTCTTACTGTTTTTATTGCTACTGTGTCTCTTGTTCTTTGTAGCTCTGTCTCTGCCTCTGTAATTGTGCCTTTTCTATAATTTTTTGGTAAATGAAATCACATAGCATGGAGTCTTTATTTGGTATCTTTTGCTTAGCATAGTGTTTTGAGATGTATCAGTAGTCTGTTACATTTTGTCACTCAGTGGTATTCCATTGATGAATATACCACAGTTTGTTTATCTTTTCACCAGTTGGTGGAATTGGGGGCTGTTTCCAGTTTTATCTTTATGACCAAAGCTGCTATGAATGTACAAGTCTTTGTGTGGATGTTTTCAGCTTTCCTGAAAAAAACACCTTGCAGTGGTATGGCTGGGTCATTATGGTAAGTGTAAGAGTCCAGCTGTTCCATAACCTCACAACTTTTAGCTATTCTTATAGATGTGTATAGTAGTATTCATTTTAATTTGCATTTTCCTAGTGACTAATGATGTTAAGCATTTTTTTTCATAAGCTTATTGACAATTCTTACATATCTTTGGTAAAGTATCTGTTCAAATCTCTCCTTTTTTGTTTGTTTTGATTGTTGGTCTTATTATCAAGTAAAAGTCCTTTACATGTTCTGAATACAAGTCCTTTGACGTATGTATATGTCTTCAAATATTTTCTCCCCATCTGTGGCTTGCCTTTATATTTTCTTAAATGTATCCTTCAAAAAGCAAAAGTTTTTTATTTAAGTAAAGTTCATTTACTGTTTTTTCTTTTCATGGCTTATGTTTTCTGTGTTCTAAGAAATACTGGCCTGAACCATGGCTACAAATATTTTTTTCTACATTTTTTAATAGATGTATTATAGATTTTGCTCCTACATTTACTTTTAAAACCCATTTTGAGATAATTTTTAGAAATGGTGTAAAATAAGAGAGTTTTTTTCCACAGTAAGTCTTGAAATCAGATAGTCTGAACACTTCAGCTTTGTTCTTTTTCAGAAATGGTTTAATTAATTCTAGGTCCTTTGCCTGCTGTGAGTATGTAGTTCAGTTTGGGGGAGAACTGACATTAGACAATGTTGAGTCTTGTAGTCCATCAGCATGCTTTATCGTTCATTTATTTAGGTTGTCTTTAACTTCTCTCTGCAGTGTTTTGTAATTTTTCGTGTATAAATCTTGCACATCTTTTGTCACATTTAAGGATTTTGTAGTTTTGGTATTATAGTAAATGGCTATTTTCATTTTAGTATTTATTGCTGGTACATAAAAATAGAACTTTTGTACATTAAACTTGTATCTTGCAATTTTGTTAAACTCACTTATTCTAGTGGCCTTTTTGTAGACTATGGTTTTCTACATAGGCAAGTCATGTTATCTGTGAATAGGGAGTTTCATTTTCTCCTTTTCTTTTTCTTGCCTGATTATACTAACTAGGATATACAGTAAATATTGAGTAGAAGTGCTAAGAAAGGATATCTTTGCCATGTCCTAATTCTGTGGGAGAAAGCATTCAGTCTTTCACCAGTAAGTGCAGTGTTAGCTATATATAGGGTTTTCATGGACGTTGAGTTATTTCTGTTTCAGTGAATTTTATTATAAGTGAGTATTAAATTTTGAGTTTTATTGTGAGTCATATTAAATTTTATCAGATGTTTCTGCATTTTTGAGATGATCTTGTGTTTCTTTTTTAGTCTACTGAAATGACAAATTACAGTGATTGATTTTTCTAATATTACACTGATCTTGTATTTCTGGGATAAATCCTATTTGGTTGGGATGTATTATCTTTTTTTTTGTATTGCTGGGTTTGCTGTGTTAAAACTTTGTTGTGAATCTTTTTGCATCTATGTTAGTGATGTAGTTTAGTTCATTTCTGAGAGGACTTATTATTGTTTCTTTCCTGAGTTTTATTGGCTCTCCTTTACCTTCTATTGTCTGGTCATCTCTTCCCCAGTTGCTTCCTTCACTTTTGGGTGTTCTTTGGTAATAGCGATTGCTTCATTTTGCCCTTAACTTCATGCATAAATGTTTCATAATTTCATTTGTTTTAATGGTAAATTATTTTCAAGTATGTTTTGTCAATAAAGAAGTTGTACTGCTGTTTTTCCATTTTTTAATAATAGTGTCTTTGAATATTTTTACCATTTTGATACTCATATTTGAATGAGTTGGGATTTGCAGGACTACTATTAGCAGAAGGTTCCTGTAAAAGGGGAAGGTGAGTCAGAGTGATTTTTTTTTTGAGAGGGCATCTCTCATATTTATTGATCAAATGGTTGTTAACAACAATAAAATTCTGTATAGGGGACTCAATGCACAATCATTAATCAACCCCATGCCTAATTCTCAACAGTCTCCAATATTCTGAAACATAACGAACAAATTCTTACATGGTGAACAAGTTCTTACATAGTGAATAAGTTCTTATATGGTGAACAGTGCA